GAGCGTTGACCCCTGGAGCACTGTGAAATTAGTTCCTGGCTTCCTTTAGCTTTTTTCCTCTACACAGCTCACTCTGCCAAAGCTATTTATTACCTCTGTTCTCATTAAGCATGTATGTGATTTTTAGTGTATGTTTGTATCTCTGTTGATCACACTAGACAGTTGATTCCCAGTATTTCATTGTCTGCAATGTAAAGGTCAGATTGTGTTGAGGGTGGACTGGGGTTTTGGGGTGGTTTTTCTTTTTTTTTTGGGGGGGGGGAGGTGGGGAGATGGGTTGGTATTGGGTTGAGGGTTTTTTTATGGGTTTGGTTTTGTGTTTTTGGAGAGAAGGAAAAGAAAGTTTACAGACTTGTGTGCTTATACTTCCTATTCTGCTCATGCTGGTCAGGGATTCAGCAAGGTTGAAGCAGTTGTTGGCTTGGCCGTTTCTTCTTCCCACTTGGAGTGAGGGCAGTGGACCTCAGCACGAGTTGCAGCAGTCTTCCACTCTGCTCCATTCTCATTTCCTATATAGAAAGAAATTGGATATAATCTTGGATTGCTGGCAACCTTTTGGAAAATCATGGTAGTGATGAGTATCTGCATTTTGTGGCATTGCATTTGTTAGGAACCATGATGCTACTGTCATATCATAACGGAAATATATTCTGCAAAGCTTAATGAAAGGCATTAAAATAAAAGGCAGTGATTTTCTTACTTGCTTTATTTCTATTTTTAAACAGAAAGAGTACAGTTTTTGAAACTGTTTTTTCTAGTCTGTTTATTCTGTCATGGCAAAGCAGATTAGTGAAGGGTTTGGAGGTGGAGGAAGTCTCCTGTCATAACTCATCTGAGAATTCAAATGCTGTAACATTTTTTTTTCAGTGCTAAAACACTGGAATCTTAAGTGCTTTTTTTTTTTCCTTTTAGGGGAACTTTTTTTGGCAGAATAGGTAGGGGGAGGTACCCAAATACAGATCCAGTAAACTGTATGATATAGTTTCTAACTAAATATTGATTGTAGAGATTGTCTTGTCATATGAGGGATATCAGTCATGAATTTTAATTCCTGGCACTAGTAAGCTTCATTAGAGATGTTGATTAATCTAGTTATGTTACACTTTTCTTGAAGCCCTATGGTGTAAGAGGCCAGATCTGTTCTTACTGAAATTAACACTAAAATAACCATTGTTTAACTTGCACGTGAACTTTTAAGGTATAAACATTTCACTTCATTAAAATCATTAGACATAGTTTGAGAGGGTGTCTTGCAAGTCTTATGTAGAGGTTTTCCAATTATTCCCTTGTTCTAAATGTTGTTGAACTGTGTGTTCACCTAAGTAAATGGACACCATATTTTTCAGTTAAGATCGACTTTTGCAGCTGTAAATGGTGTCTTTGCCTGAAGATGTCAATATAAATCTTTTGTGGTATTTTTATTTTTGTTTACTTGTTCTTTGGAAAAGGAAATAGGAGACATTACTTTCACTTCTTTCCCCTCTTATTAGATGCAAGAGAAAACATAGTAGAAACAACTGTCCTCCAAATGTTGTAACCTTTCTGGGAAAGGTTATGACAATTTCTAACAAGACATTTCCAATTTTTTTTTAATGCACTTCATCTGATTGTGTTCTTTCTCTTTGCTTATGACTAGTTGTATAAATGTGCTGATACCTTTAGGGGATGTTACCAGGATTTATTTTTTTCCAATTTACTGAAGATTTTTAATCTTCACAAAGAATCTACCCCTCTCTCATTGGCAGCTTAAGTTGGTAAGCTCACATAAAATAAGTTTTTTTCAACAGCTTTTTTTTCCCCCTCAATAGTGCTTGTTAGTATAAGACTGACTATCCAGCAGGTAGCCAGTGTTGTACAAAAATTTCTAAACTAAAGGCATTGTACAGAATAAGACATATAGCTACTAAGTACTAAAGTATTGAGAACTTGACATTAGACATTTGAATTTGAAATTGAGTTGGAATTGAATTGACAATTGGCTTTGTATACTGGAAGAAGTTAAAATAAAGTTCTAAAAATAATTAAGTGGACATTCAATTATTTAATTTTAAATTATTGGATAACAAATAAACATGAACAGCAGCAGCTCTGCTTAGAAAAAATAAACTCTTTTCAAACAATATTTTTACAGTATCATTTTACTATTAATGTGTTCTTACCTAAAATGCTACTGGTGTTGACACAATCATTTCTATATGTCTTGGGAGGTGGGACAGAAAAAAGTAATCTGCTTACCAGTGCTTGAAAACTTTTTGTTAAACACAAAATAAATGCAAATTAAATAGCTCTTCTTCAATTGTTTGAATTCACATTTAAAATATTTTGAACTGTTAGCTGATATTATATTATAGAAATCCATTTCTCTTGTGCAGAATGTATATAACAAACTATTAAGAAATGAGCATAAATCAGAAAAAATACATTAGCATGGGAAAATGTGAAGTAATATAAAGGCAACATCCCAGTCAGAAATAGGAAGGATGCAGTAATTTCTTTTTTCCTTTAAAGATGAAATAAATTATTCAAGAATCCAATTCCTTCTGTCTAAAGTCATCTCAGAAGTATGCTTGGCAAATGTTAGCAAGAGCTGACCTAAGAACTTAGTGAACAAATAAAAAGGAAGATTTATACAGATCTCCTCACACCTTTGGCGCATTGATATTTTATTATTTATAATTTGTTCAAGATGTTGGGAAGGAAATAGTGTTTTGCACCAAGATGGAAAAGAAAAAAAAACCCCTAACCATTAGCCACATGCTACACAGTGGTCATTATTGCTTATATAAAAATCCATATTTCACATATAACAATTGCATGAACTTCAATTTGAAAAAGAGCAACACAGTTCATTTCTTGTGATTTGGTTCTTATGTTATAAGTTGAGAGCAGTAATTTTTTTTTACATCTCCCATTTAATATAAATATGTCACCTTGTGTTAGTGTCTCAGAAGTTTCTTTTCTAAATAATCTGGAGAAGAGGGTAGAAAAGTTAATTGGTGGCAATGTAATGTTTCTTTCATAGGAAATCTAAGTGTAGAGCATCTTAGAGAAAGAAAGTGCACTAGGTCTGCTAGTAACAAATGTGATGTATTGCTTTTGAACCTATGTTAACACATTTGAAAGTATTTTTTGAGATGAAATCTCTGCAAAAATGAGATGCTACTCATGTAGAAAACAGTAAGATTTATGAGGAAAATATAAATTCCTCTTCATGGTAATCAATGGTAAGCTTATACCACTAATAGATATGTATCTTGCTGAACTCAGGTATCTAAGGATGTATGCAGTATCCATGCGTTATCTGTATTTTAAAATTTCAAATTCATTAAACTGCAAGTTACTGTTTAGTCACTATACGTTTAAAATGGCAGTGATGCAGGAAAACATCTGTGCTTAAGGGAAACTGCTGAATTCTGCATGTCGTAAAACATGAGGCAGTAATCATTGCTGAAACTTTTTTAATGACACTGTAACCTTTTGCTGGCAGCCCTTTTAGAGGGAACCATGACATTGTTCAAATGCAAATGAATTGTTATTGAGTGTTTTCACATAAAAAACAAAATGCTTTAAGTCACATAACTTTTCTGATTCCAAGTACTTGCCCCAAAAAAGGTGGAAGTGGCTGAATCATTTCTGTAGAATAGGAAAAGCTGTGCAAGCAGGGCCTTAACTTCTCATGGGTTTCTTTGGAATTAACTGCATTACACTAGCTGATCTTGAAGAAGGAAGTAAAACTAGTAATTTGTGTGGCAAAAACATCTAAAAAGAGTAAAGGGAATGATAGCAACGGTGAAAAGGGTAGGGATGTTTATTTGAGGGTTTGGTGAAAGTCTCTTGCAGAAAGTAGTTTTGAAAAATATATTCCAAATGTGCTTTTGTATGAAGTTTATTATATGAAGTGACTTTGATATTACCATGTTATAAGATACTTCTTTCTATTAGGAGTTTCAAAATACCAAAGAATTTTAGCTGAATTCCAGTCTTTGTTTTCTAATGAAGATTTCTCCTTTGGAAAGGGTCTCCTATGTATTAAATAATAAGTAGTCATAGTGGGAGAGGAAAAGCTCAAGATATGCTCTGGCCATTC